GGCATCAAACTATTCGTAACGTGATTGGTCAAATATATCATAAGCATGAAAATATATGTAAACTCTATAGTCAAGGCGCGCGAAAATTTGAATTCTAGTCCCATAATAAAATTGAGATGAAATGTATGTGAAACCAATTTATTCGTGATGTGATTGGTCGAAAAATAAATATTCTCAATGTATGTGAAACCAATTTATTCGTGATGTGATTGGTCGAAAAATAAATATTCTCATTCTGATTGGTTGAAAGTAAATATAATATACATAAACGACACATAAATATATCATGACAATAAATATGACGCGCGCGCTTGCGCGCGAAAATTAAATTCTAGTCCTAATATAAAATTGAGATGAAATGTATGTGGCATCAAACTATTCGTAACGTGATTGGTCGAATATATCATAAGCATGAAAATATATGCAAACTCTATAGTCAAGGCGCGCGCTTGCGCGCGTAAATTCAATTCTAGTAATTTAAAAGTTATTGACAAAAATAAATCATCTAAACATTCTACCGTCACGAGTAATTAGATGATTTATTTTATTTATTTATTTTTGTCAATAACTTTTAAATTATTGATAGTATTATAAATTGTAAACATTTGGAGCTGTATTATTTATTATTTTTTATTTATGAATTGGATGACATTGAGAATTATGTACACATGTGTTGTTGTACTTCAGAATGTTTTTGTAACGATTTTTGACCTGAAATTTTTAATTATTTTCAATCATTTTATTTATTAAGGGTTTATTATAAATAAGATGCATCATATCGACACCAAAAGATCTAATAAAAAAAAAGAGCCAGCAGGTGGTTGAGTGGAACGTATAAAAAGCATTTCTCACCTCTTGCTTCTGATTGACTTCCAATGTTTTAGAATATGTGATAGGGCACCCCGCGTGAGACCACCAGTCGCCCTTAATTCTTCAATATTGTTGATTTCTTTGAAACGCTGAGACTTATTGCGACTTATTTACCTCTTGATAAATAAAATAAAAATAGACCTTATATAGCCAATAAAATTTTTTTTTTGTCCACTTGCAATCGACTCAAATAAACAAATCATAAAAAATCCATCCTAGAAGAAATAAAAAATTTAATTTTTCATTGACTAATATTGATTTGTTGCCGTTATTGTTATCAATATATAAATATAAGTAAATACAAACAGAGCCTGGCAGTTGAATAAGAAGTAAAAGTTTTATAAATTTCTCTACCCACACGATCGCAACCGAGCTGTTTTATTTTTCTTCTTATATTCATTGGAAAACTTGTGATATTATTTTTTTTTTTAATTTATTTTTTTCGCACGCATACGTCATTATCATTAATACTTATTAGTATTGTTCGGATGACAGGGTTAATTACGGCGAGAACTTGTGACGGGAATCCCCATTACAAAGTTGTGTCTTCTCCAAATGAAAAAAAAAGTTAATATCGCCTGCTTACAGATAGAGTATCTGTCTTATTTTCCGAATAAAAAAACTAAAACTCGTTTTTCTTTAAGACAAACCTAATATTGCCGATGGTAACTACGATGTTAGTCGCTAATCAATGTCAAAAAAAAAAAACGTGCTCCTTCAACTTGAACATAAAAAATTTATTTAATTAAATCGGATATCAGCAAATCTTTAATATCGGTATTTGCGTCACCCTCCGCCTTCCCCTTTTTTTATTTTATTTTAACTTGTAACGAGCGCAACTTTTTACGGATTCCTTCTCTTTTTATTGATAGATGTTAATCATTAAATTCGCTTTAGCTGTTTTTACTAAGTACCTTATTCTGCATAATTATTAATAATTATTAAAGATTATTCAAGGAATTTTTAACTAAATTGACTTTTAAAAGGTTATTTAAAGCTGCTTTGGGATATTTAAATAATTACAGGCTACATCAAAAAGATCAAAAAAAGGTTAAAGGAAAATTTTAATCAACAATTTGTTATAAACCCACGCCGTACTATTCATCATTTACGTGCATTCGCACTTTTAAAAATAATATATGCTTTTGTTAGTTTTATTTTCTCAGTTATTATCGTTCACTATGCAAATTAAGGAAAATATATAAGCGATTTTTTAATTGCTTTTTCGTAGTCATATGACATGTTGTAGGTTGAAATTAATAGATCGATTTTAATTTCAAAATGTTACTGAAACTCTCTAACTTCATTTATCCAGAGAAATTATTTATTATTGAATAATAGTAATAACTTACTATTCGACATTTTGTTCACATCAAAATCGTGACGTATTAGAAATTTATCGAGGTAATTGGACTGGAAACAGACTATGTTATTTTTATTTTACGAAGTTTCAACTATTTTAGATATTCTTTGCCAGATACGGGCATCGTATATTGATTAATTAATTAATTGACAAATTAATTAATGTAACGTCACATTTTTCATGTGTACGTAGAAAAAAAATTTACTTGAATCAAGTAAATAATTTGAAGAACTTTATTTTCTTGATTTGAGTAAAGAAATTTTTAAACTAACAAATTTTTCTTGTTCTCTAAGTAAATTTTACTTGATTCAATAATTCTTCTCTTGATTCAAGTTAATTTTTTCTTCAGTGAGGTTTTTTGAATTTTAATCTAAACAATTTTGATGACAATCATGGATTTTTATGAGCCTAACTCAGTAGAAAAATTTTCTTGATTGAAAAATTCTTAAATCAAGTAAAATTTACTTATTTGAAGAATTTTTCTACTCAAATCGAGACGATGAAGTTCTTCAAAATTAACTACTTGATTCAAGTTAATTTTTTTTCTATGTAGTGATATTTCATTCAAGTAAATGCAAAGAGAAATTTTCATGTTACTAATAATTGAGAGAGTTCATCTCTTTATAAAACGAGTTCCTAAATCAAAGGGTGGATCGCAAATCACCTATCTGGCTAAAAAAAAATTTTAATTTTTGAAAATTCGATAAATTATTGAATTTAATTATGTTAAACAAAGTTATGTACTCAAAGTCATACAAAAATTATAAATATTAAAAAATACCTTGAGTTAAAATTTAAACAGTCTTAATTATTTATCAAATAAAAATAATGACTATTAAGAAGTTGAATTTTTTATTAAATGTATACTTGTTTTTGAATAAGATAATTTTTGAATTTTATTTGTATATTTTATAGCAAAACAAATTTTAACTCTACATCAAAGTCTTTGCCCTTAATTATGTTCTTTTAAGAATTTATTATTAGTAAGGATAAATGGTATCAAAATTATCAAAATGTTTCAGTAATTGATCATGAAAGAAAAAAATTTTTAATTTTATAAATTGACATTTCTCTGATGGTAATTAATATTAACCATATATAACTATGCATTTTATCGGAATTCAGGTTATTAAATTTTTGGTATATAAAAAAATGCTCTTTTGAATACAATCATTATTATTCTGAATTAAATAGTTTTCAATGTTAAAAAAATTAATTAAAAACGAATCTATTTTCAAGAAATATTTTAGGATAAAAAAAAATTCTAGGAACACTTTGTGAAAAAAATGTATCATTTCTTCAACCAAAAAATTTATTGAAAAATGTATTTTATGACATTAATTTAATATCTAATGACTTCATAGCTTGTTACAGTTAGGCATGTCTAAAAAAACGTCTCTTAATTTATTAGTGTAACTTTAAACCCTGTGTTCAATGACGTACATTGAATTTCAACGATTAGTGTTTGACTATCAAGTTATATAATTTCTAACCCAGGTTATTTACTTTTATTCTATTCCGAATGGCTTTACTATAATCTTCTAATTAGATCCACGCTGTTCATGTAATGTACTATTTCCTCGTATTATCATTAATCATTATAATATTTTTGTTCTAATTAGTGAATTGCCTAACTCTGTGTTTGTAAATTTTACAATCGCCAAACGGTGAAATGTATACTGCTTTAATACTGAACAATTAATTAAATATTTATAATCAATAATCAATAATTATCATGAGATATTCATTAAATGTCGAATTTTCTTTGCTAGCATATTTTAAAAATATATTTTTGGATTTAATTCAATGTATATCTTTACTTAACATGATTTAAGATGGATGAAATGAAGTGTAATTTTTTTCATACATGTTTACATACTAATAAAAAATTAACTTTGTTCAAAAGAAAAAATCTTGAATTAAAATTGTGACACAAATCAAAAAAATTCTTTAAAATTATTTTTTTGATTCAAGATTTCTGCTCTTAAATCAAGTCAAATTTTTTTTTATTAATCTCTATATGATCAAACATGAATTTTTTTTAACGTAAGTCATTTTTTCTCTGAGCTCGCACTACGCAGTATTAATTACTTAATTATAATTTTTATTACACATTGACACAACTAAAAAAATGTACATATTAATAGAGTTCAGTATTTTTTATCAAAAATGTAATAAATTTGAATACATTCCCGAAACTCGTTTTCTCTGTGCATGGTTCAATTAATTCGGGAAAAAATCATTCGCCTATACTTCAAATAGATTTCTTATATTAATGTTGATAATAAAAATAAAATTAAAAAAAAACGAACAATAATTTTAATAAATAATAAAATCGGAAAAAAAAATGTTGTAGTAACTAATGAAAAATGAAGCGCTTGCGCGAGCTTTCACAGAGGGTGTATAGGAGTGCGAAGTATATAACTTGGCGGTTTTCTACCTTACGCGTCATTTTAAATCTCAACGACGCTGATAGTGGTCAAAATACGATCAACTATTAAATCGATAACTAAATAATTGGTGACGTGATAAAATTAAAAGTAGAGATAGATTTTAACAATTTTAGCGAAATATTTAATAGTGAAATTTATATTTGTTGCAAATTTAAGTACTTGCGTATATATGAGCTAAAAAAATTCTGATACTTAATACCGAATATTGAAATACCCAAGTGCTGTTACCAGAAGTGACATCGCAAATTATTATCAACTGTCAGCGGGCAGGATATTTATAGCGTATTTATAAAGTGATTTTATCGGATATTCAGACATGGGGATGATTAAGTTTTGTTCAATTGCACTGCTAATGACTACTGTTATGACAACCGGTACCGCGAGATATATTCCGGCGAGTAATTATATATTACTGGAGAAATTGATTAATCAGTACGATACGACTGGTGTTAATTATGATTACGGGGAAGATGATCAAGACAACCAGGTAAAATTTCTAATTGATAAATTATTGCATTTTGTTGATTATTTATAATTTTTGGTGAGAATTATCCTCAAATATTACAACTTTTATTTCTTATTTATTTGGGAGATTTTTTTATTACAAAAATGTATTATTTTATAAATTAATAATGAGCTTTAAATTTATGTTGGACTGTACCAATTTATTGAAAGATTATTTTAATTTCATTTAATAATTTTTTAAAACCGAATTAACAGAACAATACACACAGAAAAAAAATTAAATTCAAGAGAAAAATTCTTTAATCAAGAAAATCATTTTTAAGAGTTTCATTGTCTTGCGGATCAAGACAAAAAATTCATTAATCGTAAATGTACTCAAATCAAGAAAAATTTTTCAGATAATAAATTTTTTTACTAAAATTGGGACGATTAAGCTCTTGAAAATTACTCTTTTGGTTCAAGAATTTTTCTCTTAAATCAAGAAAATCATTTTTGATATTTTCATTATAAGGTTGTTAAATTTTTCAAAACTTTCCGCTAAGAAAATTGAAAATTTTTTTTAATGTATAATAGTTAAAAATTACTCAACAGTTTTAAAGGTTATGGGCCCGATAGACAAAGGATTAATTAAACTTTGCGAAAAAGATCCGGGTTCGAATCTCGGGCAAATCGAGTCATTCTTAAATACACGCTGAAATAATTTTCGCGGGTTTTTACGACTTGTAACGTCATTTTTGAATTAATAAAATAATTATATATTGGCTAAAAAAAGTACACTAAAAAGTTACTTAAATTTTTTAAAAAGGTCACAACCCTGTTTTGCAAAGTTCAATCACTTTCATCAATATTAACTTATCAGATTTTTACGAGTTATTATTATCATTTTTTGTTAATTAATTTATCATAAATTGATATTAAACTGATAAAATAAACAATTTTAAAGTTTCAACAATTATCAACTAATTTAACGGTCTATTGCGTACAATTAAAAAGTTCGAAATGAACTCCAGTTATATATCGACGTTACAGCACTTAACGTACTCAGTAATTTGGGTAATAAAAATTGGATTACCTGAGCCAATAAATATTTGAATGAAAAAGGTCATTAAAACCCACTGTTCCAACCGATCATCGATATATTATTGCATGCTTTAATTTTAATTAAAAACGCGGTATTATGTGATAATTGCCGAAGTTAAGAGCTACTAAATAAAAGCCCCCGTAAAACAGTCCCAATTATTATTAGCAGAAAAAAAAATCAAAGTACGAATCGAAAACTAAAATTAGAGATAATGTATTACTTAAGTAAATACTTGGTATTTGTACAATGCGCAGGTTGATTTCTATTCGAGAAATCAGGGGAGCAATTGAACTCAATAAGTTGACGGGAAATCTCAAGCGAGTTGAATTGAATCTATTTTTATTTGTCTAAGGTCATAAATTTTTATAAAGTTACAAGTGCTTGCAAGTTTTATATTACTACAAAAATGTTTACAGTTCAATGCAAACATGTTTTTATTTTCTTCTCTAATTATTTATTTCTCAGTAACTCCTAAGTAAATATTTATAGTTTGAATTAATTTTGATCAATTTGAAGTAATTGAAGTTACCGCGCTATTTTTTATGAATTTTCTGTAATATAATATACCTATATCCACATAATAATGGTATGATTTATGACTGGCTTTGTTTGCAGGTGGCTCTAAAGAAAGATGCGTTGCTTTTGGAAAAATTGATGCTGACTTTACAAAAGAATGCGGAAGATGACTCTAATGCGATCGAGTTACAAGACAGAAAAGAGCTAGTACTCAACGACCCACGGCTACAAAAGTTTATGATTAGAAGGAGTAGATCTGAAAATCGAAAAACTGGGGTACGTAATTTTACCCTGCGGCTCTACACTGAAAGAAATTATTATTGAGATTGAGAAAGAAGAGGACTCTTGTTACAAGAATTTAAATTATTGGAAATTTTCAACGTTTTTCTTTATTAGCTGAAGAAATCACATTTTTCTCGTAGTATTTTTTTTTTTAATAAAATCAAGTTTATTTTATAAAAAAAAAAAACAATTAAAAAAAAATTGACATTTATTTCATTCAAGAATTCAAATTTTTGATTACAAAAAATTATTTTTGTTTTAATACTTTTAAAAATAATTTTTTATTAAAGTCTTTAATAAAATACTTGTAGACTTTCTTTCAAATTGTTTTTTTTTATATAAATTAAGCTTGATTTTATTTAAAAAAAAAATACTACGAGAAAAATGTGATTTCTTCGCTGAAAAAGAAAAGTATTGAAAATTTCAAAAAATTTTAATTCTTGTACCAAAAATGCTCTTTTTTTTCAAAAGTAATTTTTTTTCTGAGTTTAGAGTGAAATTTATATTTTTCAAATTGAAAAAATTTTTTTGCATGAAAATAATTCGAACGACTTAAAATTTTTGATGATAAACAAAAAAAATATATGTATGATGAAGACAATAAAAAATAAATAACAAAAAATATTTTTGTTTTAGATGGATCTACAACGACGAGGGCGGATCAACGGAAGCGTTTACTGGAAATGTTATTTCAATGCAGTAACATGCTTCTAATAATGAAATAAAAACTGAAAACTGACAAATCTGCGACAATGTATCTAATTATATGCGTATATATAAACATTCTTTTATTGTCTACATCTTTTGAACGAAGTCTGCACATTTTCGACGCTCTCATTTTTCAATCTTCGAAATTTGCACTTTTTAAAAATCACACTTAAATTAATAAGTTCTCCACTGTACAAAAACTTTGTGACTGTTAAATTAGTTTGTTTAAGTTATTTATAAAATTTATACATGTCAGTCTCAAAATTAAAGTTAGAATATTTTATAGTAATTTTGTTTGTATAAAAATTAATTAGAAAAATGAAAGTATCTATTTAACCAATTAATTTATTTGTTTGATGTTGAAAAATATACTGAATGGATGCGAGGGAGATGAAATTATTTTTGTTAGTAATTATTTTTAGAAAAAACACTGAATCAAATAAAATAATATTTAAAAGTAAGTTTTAACATCACTACTTTGAAATTCCTGTATGAGTTTGTTTTTATGTGAGTATTGATATGACAGTACCTGTATTATGTTTTATTCGTAATAATAATCAGCTGAAGCATTCAATATACTTATATTTTACTATAAAAATAGATATGTTATTTTTTTTTATTTTTTCACATCACCCGAAAAAATCTATAAACTTTTTTTGATATGAAAATTAAGATCGCTAGAATATTAAAGAAAGTATTAACTAATAAACAATCTATATATATATATATATATATATATATATTTATTTAAAACAAGTGTTTTGTTCTGTGTAAGTGTTTTCATATATTATTTTTTTTAATCTTCAAATCAGTCTATTTTAAATCATGGAATGTCACGGGCTTGCTCTCTACTAAATATATCAACGTGAATACCTATATATACACATGCATACTTTTCTTCTTTTTTTATTCAGAGCTATTTCAAGACAAGCACACCCATCCGTTATAATAAACAAAAAAAATATTACAATTGATGCAAATTAATATTAATTAATTGTTCATGACCTTATTTGTGTTATTTACATAAATGGAAATTATTTTTAAAGAAGAAATAGGGTAAGCTTGTTTTATTTACTTTGCAATACTTGACCCTGAAGAAGTGATTTAATTAAATAATTTACTGTCTAGAAAATTTAATCTTTTTGATGAAAATTTTTTATTGCAGACGTATAGTAGGATTATTATTAATTGTTTTAATAAAAGTGCATCAGTTACGCTGGATCAATTTAGTAAATATACCATTGCCATAACAATTAACTTTTAATTGTCTAAATTTATAGTTTGCGTGACATATTTTTATTTAAATAATTATTTATTTTGCTCTTAGTGTTGTTATAAAAAAAACTTTCGGATTATTTTTAGAGAAGATATATTTATGTACATTTATTTTGAGTGTTTCTGTTCTGAATTTTCAAAATAAATTTTATAATTTTCATGATTTTTCTTTCGTTTATTTCAAATTTTTTATTAAAAAATTAAATATAAATTTCTTTAAAAAATTCCTTTTTTATTTAATAATTTTATTTTTTTTTTCTCATAATTAAACTGTTATTTCCTCTTTGTCGATAAATATCGTCTGCTAATTTCATATTTCTTCTTATAGTAAACTTCATCTTCTTTTTTGTTGAACAATAAATATTATAATTTTATTTCTTCTCATTATACCAATCATTTCTTCCCGTGATTTTCATAATTATTAATTATTTCTTCTTTTTTACACAAAGTTTGTAGTTTTTTCAATTCAAATTGTATTTCTTCCTACAATCGAAATATTATTACTCATTTTTGAATTCCAACATTCCTTTATTTTTTTATTGCTGTTTTAGTATTATGAATATTTATCCCGCTAATAAAAACAAAAGATAAACATTTTCTCTTGAGATTCTTTTGTTTTCATGGATTTCAACAGAGTATTATATTAAACGGATTATGGTTTTTTACATTCAGCTAAGAATCTTCTCACGGTAGTGGAGAACGGCTGGACCAATTGGGCTTTTTTTTATCTTTAGAATTGTCAGGAGTAAGTTTTGTATGTAAGAAAATTTTAAAAAAGTCCGATAAAAAGTTAAAAATTTCGATGATAATCGAAGAATTCCCATCTATATAGTCACTCACCACGAAATCTCGGAAACCATAAGACTTAGAAACGTGAAACTTGGTAGGAATATTACTTTTGCTATGTAAAGGTCAGCTATGAATAGATTTTAAGAAATTCATCCCCCAAAGGGGATTGCGGGGGAGTTATTAACAATGAACAATTCCCGTTTTTAAACTATAGCTCTTATAGACTTCAAATTTGGCAGGAATCTTCTGTAAGAGGTGTAGAAATAGGCTATGAACAAATTTTACGATAGCTCATCCCGTAGGGGGTTGCGGGGGTGGGTATTAAAAATTAATATTTTTAATTTTCCAGCTATAAAGCTCCTACAGCTCCAAATTTTGTAGGAATTTTCTATGAGTGATGTAAAAATGATTTATGAACAAATTTTACGATATCCCACCCCAAAGAAGATTGCGGGGGCGTTAACAATGAAAATTTTCAATTTCCAAGCGATAGCTCCTATAGACTCCAAATTTAGTGAGTGTTCTATATGTAATATAAAAATGATCTTAGAGCGGATTTTACAATGAATCACCTCCAATAAGGCTCGCGGGGGTGGGTGTTAACTTTAAAAAAATTTCAATTTCGAAATATAGCTTCTAAATATTCTAAATATGGTAGGAATCTTTTATTATTCATATAAAGATCATCTCAAAATGGATTTCAATAAAGTCTACTTCCGACAGGAATTGCGGGGGTGGGTGTTAAAATCTAAAATTTTAATTTCCAACCTGTAACTTCTACAGACTCCAAATTTGGTGGGGATCTTCGTGTATGTAGGGATGTTCGTGTATTTCCTTACAACAATCGTCTTTTTGGCAGCGGAGAAAAAGTCATTGAGAGGTTTCCAAAACTTAACTTTACATGTAGCTATCCAATCAACGGACTAAGAATTTTACATTCATTTTACTTTTGCAGACTACATAACCGACGAATTCTTTTATTGCGGGATCGCGGAAATGTAACAGATTAAAATGAATGCATTTTCCAAGTACTTGAGATGTGGAAAAGAAATTTAGTTACTTATTCCAATAGAATTCATAAAAAACATGAACAATTAATTTTCTATAAAAAATTGATGTCACGGAGAAAATTTTAGTTAACAGAAAATTCGTCGCACTTGAACCTAGACAGATTTCAACTTCACATATGAGACTTGCAATGACTTTAACTTAAACTTTCAATGCTCATTTCAAATTTTTTTCTTCATGTCAATTATTATTAATTTTTGGAAGAAAGGCACGGAAATGTTATAATGATTGCACATTGAAAGTTGCAATGAATAGTAGTGAGAAAAATCACCTGGATGAAAGATACAGGCTAAATCGATGGAATTTGGAATTTGTGTAAGTCTAAACAATATCAATGCTTACAGTTCTATCCGCGGCGCTTATTTATGTTCATACAAAAATAAAAAAAAAAAAAGGAGAATAATAAAAATATGGAAAAAAAAAAATAAAAATGAAACATAAAATGTAATTTGTTTTCTTTTTCAATTCGCCCAGCGAAGCGGGCGGGAAACGGCTAGTTTATCTATACAATTAATGTAGATATTTTACTTCATGATAAATTAAAAGAGTTTTTATGAAATATGAATTTTTGCGGACGAATTGTTGTCCGTCTTACCGGTGAATATGAAGAAAAGTTTAAAAAATATAAAAGAGTTGTTCACTTGAAGAGTTGTTCACTCATAATGTTCATTTGATTGTAAAAACAAATAAAATTAACAAATTTTCGGTCTTAGAGCATTTAATACTTTAATACTTTAATAATTCTTGGCATAAGGCTATACTGATAGAAGGATTTATTTGTATCAAAAAATATTTGTTAATAGTTAACAAATAATTTATTAGACACCACTTTTTAGTATTAAACAAATATTTTTTAGTATTTAAAATGATTTGTTTGTATTTAATAAATCTGATATTCATTTATTAAATATTAATAAATTTTTTTAAATACTAAGAAATATATTTATTAAAGACTAAAAAGTGGTCTCTAATAAATGATTTGTTAAATATTAACAAATGTTTTTAACTATAAACAAATCCTTCTATCAGTGATAATCTTCAAAGAGAGCTTTGAACATTCTTAACAGATTATTTTGTAAATTTTTCATCTGAGAGGTAGCCGAGTAAGCTGAGACAGATAGAGGTGTCTTAAAGAGTCAGAACAGGAAAATTCGATAACTTTTTGAACTCTTCTATAGGTTTTATTAACTTTATCTTAGAATAGTTTCAGAAACGCGATAAGTTCATCAATTTAAACCCCATCATAAATAGACTATTTTACCGAGTATATAATTAAAGAAATAAGGGGAAGGGGGCCGTCATGCCCCACCCACCCCTATTTACTAACAATTTTAACTTAATATTAATAATTCTTAAACCGTCGGATGATGATTATTAAACATTTAATTCTCTGTAAATTATATGAAAATTAATTTAGCAGATATTTGATAATTTAAAGAGTTTTTGTAACAAATAAATTATGGCAAAAAATGCAATTTTTTTAAAATAATTTTTTTAAACAAAATTGTTTCTAAAAAAATTGAAAAGTGGTCAAGTGACTGCTAACTTTAATGTCATGTAAATTATTTAAAGTTTAAAAGACTATCAGAGTCCAAAAAAATTACGTAACAACCATTTTGCCTCGTTTCCATCATCAGCCATTTTAATTTCAACTTGATAGTTTAGAGAGCAGCACCAGCAATAGTTTAATTTAATGGAACCACGCTGTCTTTGATTCTCAACCTTTTTCTTTCATGATGGCAACCAAAGTGCAGAAGGTTAAATCAAATTTTATATTGTTTTTAAACGATAAATATTGATTTATTTATTAACTAATAATAAATATTTATTTTTACAGCCCAAGAATACCATCCAGTCGGTCCAAGTTTTTGGTCGCAAGGTAATTTTTATTTTTTTTATTAAAATTTCTGTCATAATTTGAAAACTACAGACATCTGTCAATTATTTATATTTCTTAGTAAGTAATTATTATTATTATGCTAAAAATCTTTTATTATTTAAATCTAGACTTTGAAAAAATTCACTGGTAAATTTTCTGTATTTATTTTGCGATAATTAAAATCATATGTTTAACATAACCTATAATTTTATTTTTCATTTAAAAAAATTTTAATTTTAAATTTAATAATTAAGATATTTTTATTGTAAAATTATTAAGGATTAATCATTATTATTTTTTGTTAATTTAATTTTACTGATTTATTATTTTTTCTTTCAGAAAACTGCAACGGCCGTAGCCTACTGCAAACGTGGTAAAGGTCTTATCCGCGTTAATGGCAGACCGTTGGAGAATGTTGAGCCAGCTGCTCTTCAATATAAATTGCAAGAACCAATCCTCATTCTTGGCAAGGTATTGTTTGTCAATATCACCTTTTACATTTTTTATAAAACACAAATCATTTTAATTTTTTTTTTTTTTAAACATTTTAAAAAATTATTATTTTTAATAATTAAAAAAATGTGATATATTTTTCTACTGATTATATTATTGATAAATCAATAAGGAAATAAACTAATTATTCGATTTTTCAATAGGAAAAGTTCGCAGGCGTTGATATGCGTGTACGTGTAAACGGTGGTGGTCACATTGCACAGATTTATGCCATCAGACAAGCTATCGCTAAAGCACTTGTTGCTTACTACCAAAAATGTAAGTTGTATTATCAATCAATTAATGTCTCTGTTACAGTTAAACTTTTTAATGAAAATTAAGTTAGCCGGGATTTAAAAATTTTTAGAATTTTTTTTTTATTGAAAAAATGATTAAAAAAAAAAATTCATTTGTAAAAAATTTTAAAAACTGTAAGTGCAATTTCTAAAAAATATTAAAATCGTTGGCTAACTTTAGTATTATAACTTTTTAATAATATATATTTACTTTACACTCTTATTAAAAATTATGATAAATCAGGATTACAAAAATTTAATTTTATGACAGATGATAATTAAATATTTAAAAAAAAAATTGAACTTTTTATAATTAAATTTTTTTTTTGTATTAGTTATTGATTTAAAAAATTATTTGTTTGTTTAGATGTCGACGAAGCAAGTAAAAAAGAGATAAAGGAGGTCCTTATCCAGTACGACCGTACATTACTTGTTGCTGACCCCAGACGCTGCGAGCCCAAGAAATTCGGTGGTCCAGGTGCCAGAGCACGTTACCAAAAGTCTTACCGTTAAGCTTTATTATTATACAATATACTTTTATGTAAAAATAAAATAACGGAGAGATAAACTATTTTTTTTTTAATTTAATTATTTTTTTTATTAAGGGGGTATTATTAAGTATTCTAGTCTAGAAGCATGAATTTCAGGTAATTTTTTGAAGTGCCGTAAAAAAAAGGCAATCAATATTTTTATCATCCATTTTTTTATAAGTTATTATTATTACAAGAATACAGAAAAAAATAAAAAAGTTAAAAAACTTGAAAATTCAAAAAATTAGCAGCTGATGAAGTGGGGGGGTCTCAAAAATTTGGCACGTGACCATGCCCACGATTCCAACCATCCTAGCAATCGGAAATAAAAAAATAAAAAAGATTATCAATCTAGAGTAATGTCGCTATGGCATGAACTAGGATCATCCCCAAATTTCAATTTTTACTATTTTTAAAAAATTCGAAAAAGTCAAAAAAAAAAGTATAAAAAAAATTTTTTTTTCAAGCAGTCGCCATTTTGTGAAAAAATTTTTTTTCAACTTTTCCCTAGTTCATGCCATAGCGACATTACTCTAGATTGATAATCTTTTTTATTTTTTTATTTCCGATTGCTAGGAGAGGTGGAATCGTGGGCATGGTCAGGTGCCAATTTTTTGAGACCCCCCCACTTCCTCAGCTGCTAATTTTTTGAATTTTCAAGTTTTTTAACTTTTTTATTTTTTTCTGTATTCTTGTAATGTTAATAAATAACTTATAAAAAAATGGACAGAAAAAAAAATTGATTGCCTTTTTTTTACGGCACTTCAAAAAATTACCTGAAATTCATGCTTCTAGACTAGAATACCCCCTTAAGAATTTAAGTATTTCGTCATATAGTATTTATTAATTAAAAGTAGGAATAGTTTTATTTTTAAAATGTGCTTTTAAGGAGCGAAATTTTACTTTTTTTTTTTAATTTCTAAGCTTAAACGTTTCCTAATTATAATACTTTTGATTGAGAAAATTAAAATTAATTTCATTAAATTTTTCATTAAACGATCAATTATAGAATTTAGTCTTACCGACATATTTACCAGTATCGCCATCTTACAAAAGTCAGAGTAATTTTATTGATATCCTGGCTAATAAGCCTGACGTAAATACTGAGCGCACGTGGTGTGGATATCTACACTTAACCTTACTTAAACAGTTAACTTTTAACTATGTAAAGTAGTTATTTATTGACATTTTACAAATTTTTTATTTTGTAATATAAGTGTTATTAAATTTCCTGACATTTATTTTATTAAAAAAGTATCATGTCGCGCTTGATAGTTAAAAATTTACCCACAACTGTAAGTACTTATTTATTTATTTATTTATCACCATTCAACATCATTTGTTGCTGTAATGGTTTATTTATTAAATTCTAGATCACTCAAAAAAGATTCCAAGAAGTATTTGCAGCACATGGTATTGTGACAGATGTACAATTAAAATACACAAAAGAGGGAAAATTTCGTAAATTCGGATTTGTTGGATTCAAAACTGAGGATGATGCTCAGAGAGCATTGAAATCTTTAAATGAAACTTATATCGATACATCCAAAATTGATGTGCAAGTCTGTGCTGCTTTGGGTAATTATTATTTTTTACAGTTAATTTAAAAAAATTAACTGCAATTTTTTGCACAATTAATTCATTATTTAAATTAGTGATTATTTTTATTTCTTTTAATTTATAGGAGATCCACTAAAACCGAAAGCTTGGAGTAAGTATGCTCCAGATAGTTTAGTGAAAAATAAAAAAAAAGTAGAAGTCGAGAAAGATCCAGAGCCTAAACCAGAAAAGAAGAAAAAAAATAAAAAAAATGAAGAAATAGAAAAATTACTAGAGCAGGTAACTTTATATTTTTTTAAGTAGTTTTTTTTTTTATTTATTTAATTATTATTTAACGCTATCTGCAATTTAAAATTGTTTAACAAAAATAATAATAATATTGGTGTAAAAATTTGCTCGAATATAATTTCACTAGGTATATGTAATATTTTAACACAAAAATTAATGAAAATGAAGTTAGCCGACATTTCAAAATTTTTAGAAATTTTTTATTGAAAAAATTTCAATTAAAAAATTAAAAAAAAAAATTTCACATGTAAAAAACTTGAAAAGCTATAAGTGCAATTTTTTAAAAATATCTTTTTAGTTATAATTTAATTAATAAAAAAAAATCAAAAATTTTTAGGAGTCTGCTAACTTCAGTGTCATAAAAATTAATCTTTTAAAAGTCACTCGACATTTTTATTCCTTCTTTTTTAAATGTATTATATTTTGTACTTTAACTAGTTGATTTACTGTATTTAATTTCAGCATAAAGACGATCCATTATTCAGCGACTTTCTAGAAGCCCATCAAGTTTTTCCCACTAAAGAATCAAAAGTAGATCACAAAGAATCCTGGAAAAATGATTTAGGCGCTGAAGATGGTGAAGAAAAAAAAACTGATGGTGGTTCTGAAAATGACTCAGGAGTTGAAGATACCAGCAAAGAATTAGACGTCAATAAAATAGCAAAGAAATTTGAGAAGAAGAAGAGTGAGCCAAAAAAAAAGAAAGAACTTTTCACTGTAAAAATAAAAGGTCTGAATGGCTATCATAAGAAAAAAGACATAAAGCTTTTTTTCCATCCGCTGGTACCGAAATCTATAAGAGTGTCGCAGAAGATCAGGGGCTTTGCGTACGCAGGATTCAAAACTGAGACTCAGATGAACAAAGCGCTCAAAAAGGACCGCTGTATTTATGGTGAGTAAATTTATAAATATATTTTTTAATTAAAAATAATTTTGTAAAAACATTTTTTAGAGGGCAAGAAGTTGTACGTGAGAAAATACGATAAGCAGAATGATGGGGCTGTGACCGAAGAAAATGATATTGAGAACTCAAAGTGGAAGAAGCAAGAAGAAGCTTTGAAAAATGAAGAGCCAATCGCTGAATCAGGGAGGATTTTTGTTAGAAATCTGGCTTATGTTACTACAGAGGACGACTTGAGAAATTTGTTCGAAAAGTACGGACCTTTGACTGAAGTAAATGTGCCTATCGATAAAAATACTAGAAAATCCAAAGGTTTTGGTACAATTACCTTCATGATGCCGGAACATGCTATCACAGCCTATAATGAACTAGACGGTCAGTCGTTGAATGGCAGGATGTTACATATTTTGCCCGCCAAAGCGGTTGTGTCAGAATCCGAAAAAGGTTAAATTTATTTTTTATAATTGTTATAGCTGATAAATTACGCGTAGACTCAATGTAGGTACTACGAATTTTTATTCACATTCAGTTTTATTTGTTAAAATTGAAACTAAGAAAAATATTGACTAGAAATTTTTTTTGATGAACTTTATTAAAATACTTTTAAAATTAGTTATATTTTTTTAATCATAATCCTTAATTATTTTTAATTAAGAAAAATTTGAATTATTAAAAAGTTAATAAATTATTTGAAGTAAAAGTAGAGATTTTTTATTGAAAAAAAAAAAAGTATAAACTTTATTGACAACAGAAAACTACGCGTGATTTTTCAGATAAGTCTGTTAGGAAAAAGTTTTTATAATTTATTGTGTGCTTTATTTATGAGATTTATTTTATTTAAATAAATTTTAATAGAGGGCTTGAGTTATAAAGAAAAGAAAGAACTTAAGAAAAAAGGAACGGCGAACTCAAGTCATAATTGGAATACATTATTCCTCGGGCAGAATGCTGTTGCGGATGCGATAGCATCTACGTACAATACCACCAAAGAAAAAGTCCTTGAAGACGGAGGAAAAGGAACAAGTGTCGCTGTGAGACTCGCCTTGGGAGAAACCCAGCTGGTGGAAGAGACGAGAAAATTCTTGGAGGAAAACGGCGTAAGACTCGAAGCATTCAATCAACCACCGGATAAGCGATCCACGACTATTATTCTGGTTAAAAATTTACCCGCCATGACTACTGTTCAGGAACTGAGAGAAATTTTTTCTAAGCACGGTGTGATCGGTAGGATTGTGATGCCGCCTTCTGGAATCACGGGTAAGATAAAAATAATATTAACTAGCAACTTTTGAACTATAAATAAATAAAATTTTGCTTTATCAAATAATGATTTTTGTTAAATTTCACTGTACTTTGTTAGCTATTGACATTTTTAAAGATATAAGCTCATCCCGAGGTTATGCTCATTAAGAGCTTTCATTTGAGTACCCACATGCATTTTCATATATTTTTCATATATACATATATACATATATATAATATATATATAAATATATGAAAAATTGATGTGGGTAATCAAATGAAAGGTCTTGATGATTGTAACATCGGGATGAGTTTATATCTTTAAAAATGTCAATATTTCACAAGATACAAAGTCATTCCTTAATTATTGATATTTTTAAAAATGTAAGCTCATCCCGATGTTACACTCATCAAGAGCTTTCATTTGAGTACCCGCATGTATTTTGATATATTTTTCATATATACATATATATATATATAATATATATAAATATATAAAAAATTGATGTGGGTATTCAAATGAAAGGTCTTGATGAGTGTAACATCGGGATGAGCTTATATCTTCAATAATATCAATAGTTCACGAGATATGAAACATTGAAAAGGCACATTTTATCATATAAATACTTAGATTTATTTTTTTATTAAAACTTGATCAGATTTAGATGACACGTTAATGATTTTGTTTTTAGCTCTGGTAGAGTACGTCGAGCCGTCAGAAGCCCGAGCGGCGTTTAAAAAATTGGCTTACACTAAATTTAAACACTTGCCACTATATTTGGAGTGGGCGCCAGACAACAGTTTAAATCCGGCAACAAAATCAATTCCAGTCAATAAATTGTCTGTTGATAAAACCGAAAACAATGAACAGGTAGAAAAAAGTAAACCTGTTGAAGATGATGATGAAGAAGAAGAAGTCGAACCCGACACTACCATTTTTGTTAAGAATTTGAATTTCTCAACGACGGATGATCAGTTAAAAGAATACTTCAGCAAATGTGGTAGAATACACTACGCAACAGTTACCACGAAAAAAGACCCGAAAAACCCGGGAGAGAAACTTTCGATGGGCTACGGATTTGTGAGATACAAATACAAAGCCGACGCAGATCGGGCTTTGAAAGAATTGCAGATGACCTTATTAGAAGGCAAGACATTGGAGTTAAAACGCTCACAGAGAACATTAGAGTACGTATTTGTTTGAAATTTAAAATGATTTTCACTAAAAGGATGTTTAGTTTAAATGAAAAGTATTAATTAAAATTTTTGATCAACAGAACCGACGTAAAGACGACGAGAAAAGTATCGAAAGTGACAGAAGCAACGGGAACTAAAATTCTTATAAGAAACATTCCTTTCCAAGCGAATGTAAACGAAATTACAGAATTATTCAAGTAAGTTTAAGTGGATAAAAAATAGTTATTTAAATATCTGATTGATATTCGAGTTGGGTAATTGATGGACATTTATTTCAGAGCGTTTGGAGAATTGAAAGCTGTTCGTTTGCCCAAGAAGATGGTAGGAGATGGGAATCATCGAGGATTTGGTTTCGTTGAGTATTACACAAAAAGTGATGCCAAGGTAAAATATAAACATCATTTAGATTTAAATACTTTTTAATGGTCAACGACTTGCAGCAATACTTATCACAGTGTCATCATTTGTATCGATTGGTAATGTCTTTTATTAATATTTATTTCAGAAAGCTTTCAAGGCGCTCTGTCAGAGCACTCATTTGTATGGCAGAAGATTAGCGCTGGAATGGGCCCAAACTGACGAAGATATCGACACTATTAGAAAGCGAACTGCTAAGCATTTTCACCCAGGTATTTTTCGATTTCAATTCATTGGAATTTCTTTTTATTGAATTATACTATTATTATTTAATAAATTGTAATTCTATATGCAAACTAAGTATTTAAATTATATATTTCTTCTTATTTTTTACAGAAACGAGCGTCAAGAAAAGTAAAAAAGCTACTGTTGATCCTGAGTCACTGGGTCTTGAAGCTGAATCTTAAAAATATAAGATATCCAAATTAATATGTAAATAACAAACAATTTATAAACAATAAAATCCTTTTTTTGTTTTTAATTTATATATCTATGATATTTGTCATTTCGTGTAAAAAAGTTTTCTTCTTTTTTCTTTAATTTATCTATTTTTCGTGAATATGTCAAAAATATTCATTTATTTAAATTAAAAAGATAAAAATCACAGATGAGTCGAATTCGTTGAGTAATTTACGAAAAGTAATGCGAGGATAAATTTATAAGTAGATTTAATAGAAATCTAACCATGCATTTGTCCTTATGACGGAACTCTTCAAACTGATTATCAGAAAATACATATAGTTCAAAAGTTTATACATATATGTATGTATTTATAAGATGAAACGCAATTTGTGACAACGATAGCGGCTAAAATTCTTAACGAATCCTAATAAAACTCAATTGCACGCCTCATAAGCGAAGCGTTCTTAATGCGAAGCATTAAAAAGTATGCTTTACGATCGAAAAATTTTGTTTTCCTCTTTTTTAAATATTCAAGAGTCATAAAATTTGCACTTAAGTAAACAAATAGATCTGTATCTAATATTTACAGAAATGATCTCATATTTTAACTTACATTCATTATAGTACAACAATAGTGAATTGATAATAAAAATTTTTGAATGTCAAGTAGAGCTTTTTTCTTATCCTTATTCACTATTTTATTGAAAAGTTTACTCTGTAGAGTAACTAGAGATTTAAATGTATTATTGTACTGCAAATACCAGCATTATGTTTAATGGTGACACGCGTAAATATCTCCGGACAAAATATAGAAAAAAAAATACTTTTATTCTGAGGATATTAAAATTGAACATTTAAAATATAATCTAGCCCTAACTTTTAAGTTGTAGTCCAAATATTCAGCTGTTATTGTTTCACTTCAGTTACTATGGTTCAAAATTTGCATAGTATATATACTATTTAAAAATATTCATTGAAAAAAATTGAAAAAATTCACTCTATGCAGATTATATGTCTATAGATATTAGGGTGGCGCAAAAAAACCGACTATTTTTTTTTTTTTTAGTCTCGAGTGAAAAAATGTTAGTTTTTGATGTTTTAAGAACCCTCACCAAAGGACAGCTCAAAAAAAAATTTTTAAGAGGTCACTCCAAATTTTTCAAAATTTCAAAAATCGTCAAAAATCAAAAATTTTTTTTTTT